ATTGATCTGGTATTTCTAGAAAGCACTTATGAACAGCACGCTTTGAAAGGCGTAACGCCCTGGATATGATTCTGCATATAATTGCTAACTGAACAAGATTTTATTTCTGTTAAATTACCTTATTAATCAGTGGCGGCCCGTGACATTTCATTTTGGTAAGGCGAAGAAATTTTTTTAAACCCAACTTAAAAAAACTGACGTCGCAGTCGCAGCAAGAACCACGTGAAGGTGTAGCATTATTAATATAACCATTAGGTTTAAGCCCTAATCATTAAATTAATAATAGTACACTATCTTGCCCGGAAAAAGGGAAACTGGGAAGCGGAACTGAAGGGAAGTAAGGGGAACTGGAGAGAAAAAAAGGGATAAATGAGTTGCGTATAACTAAAAACTAAAACTAAATTCTCCTTATAAAAATGGGAACAGTGCGAAACAATCAACAAAATAAATATAACTTATAAATAACCAATAAAATAAATATAACTTATAAATAAAAAAATAAATATTTAAATAAATAAACAGACGACTAAATGGAAAGTTCAAAAGAAAGTCAACAATATCGGTACAATTTCTCACCGTAATATCCATAATGACTAAATTCACATAAATCACCAAGTTCAATTAACTAAACCACTTACAAAAGAATCATAAACCACTTACAAAAGAATCATAAAATAGACAATCTCATAGAAAAAGAATAAACAAAATATTGCGTAAATAACCACAGATTTGTTCTTTAAACAGTTCAGAATTTTATAACCAAACCAAACCTAAAGAAGAAATATGTATTTATTTTATTGGTTACTGTGATGGCTACAAGATGGCGATAGTGTTAAAATATGTTTATTTTAGAATAGAAATATAATTTCGATTAAATCGATTTATTATAAGAAAAATAATACCATTTATTATTGAATTATAACTTGACCACACATGTTACCTATAAATATTGTGCCTTTTGGAAAAAAATAGGAAGTCTCATACATGTTTGTGCTGTTGTAATATTAATTAATTCTTATCGCGAGTAATAAACAAACTTATAATATGCAAATAGGTGTTATTTCATCGTCGAATCAGTTTTAATTGTGTATACTACAACGGTTATACCTAAGCTACGGGTATAACATAAATATAACAATGCATTTTTCATATACGTATAAGTGTATCGTGAGAAAAACATGATAACATTATGGCGCATTGAAATTCTGATTGTACTTTATTGTGTATTAGGTTATAATAAATTTATCTGGTAACTTTGTGTCAATTTGTATAGTAGCACTTGATTAATGTTGGTGAAAGCAAAGGAATGCTTTTTAGATAAATAATATTTAAAAACATATATACCTACTGAGTTATGTTTTTTATTATTATTTATATTATAAAAAATACGTTTTAAAAGTACACAACACGACCATTGTTTAATAACTAAATAACTTAATTCCTTCGGTCCGCCAACTTATCGTGGACGTATATACAGGGTGTTCCAACGAAAACTTGAACCCCCAAAGGTGTTATTGGATGAGTGTGGACAAAATTCCTTGGACAAGTCAATTTTTATTTTTAGGGGGACGAATTTTGATGTATGTTTCACGCCCCCACCCGCATTCCTACACGCTCCATTCCGCCAAAATAATTTTAAAGAAAAATTGGCAATTTTTCTTAATTGTAAACTTGGTTCAATGTTCTAAAACTTTTTTATTGGTAAACATTTTTAAATTTTATAAATAAAACGTAACATTTTTTCTATAAAAACATCAATTTAGATTTTTTCAATTGTAAAAAGACCTACCTAAATGGGGTAGTTAAATTTTTTCTGACCTATACTTTTTATGGTTTTCTTCAAGGCGTTTTGTAATATTAAACATTTCTGTGAAATCAGAATTTCAATTGAGTTTACCGTTTTCGGGATATTTACTAAAAATATAAATTTTTATGACACAAACCTCGCCATGTGACCAACATTCTAAGATTTCTATTGGTTGAAAATTACCCTGTTGTCAAGTTGTCTTGTTAATGATTTCATTCGGTTATGTCAGAAAATACCCGAAGAGGTTATGTACAAATACTGTCACTGGCAGTTGAGTGAAAGATGGTCACCAAATTCATTAAGTACCTATCTTCCTTATTACGATGTATCATATTACTGTTTGATATTTTAGAGTCCAAGATATATCTAAAAGAATATAAAGAACTAGGCATTATACTAATGAAATGCATTTACGACAAAATATGATTATAATTATAGGTACTTACTTTATTTGTTTAAAAGCTTCAATGTTCAATGTAACCAACCATTCCACAAGATTCCTCTGCTTTGGAGTCCGTTATTAATAAATCACTTATCTAATCAATTACAAATAACATAACAATAACATTGATTTTCAATAATCTAAATTAAAAAAAAACATAACCCGAAAAAAGAAACGTCAAAAAATCAATTCTTCTTCTTCTCAACTAAAATTATAGATCAAGTGGTTTTAAAACTAAAATATTATAACGTGGCGCCATCTATCGTAAGAATCTTAAACTAAACACACTGGCAACCACAGAAAAAGCTGGCAACGTTGTCAATAGCCTAGTGACGTAATTAGGAGATTTTCTTTTGTAAATATCTCGAAAACGGTAAATTCAATTGAAATTCCGATTTCACAGAAATTACAAACGCCCTGAATAAAACCATAAAAAGTATAGGTCAGAAAAAATTTAACTACCCCATTGTGTTTTTTGCCGTTCTCGGGCGATTCCAGTCCACTGTGCAGCGCGTCGCGGCGTGGCGTCTCAACGTCAAACGGTATAAACTAATTGCCTGCATGCATCAAAGCGAGTTCATGGGCGGTCACGTGGCAATAAGGGGATGAAGCCTCAGAGTACTTCCGTAACGCCAAGTTTTGTTTTACCCAGTCTGCAAGTTCAAAAATCAAAATTACGGTATAAAATAAAATGTTAACGAGGCATGGAAGTAAAGTCCTGCATTTGTTAGATATTCCTGACTCAGCTCCAAATATTTAACTCGTACTGTTGTAACTTTAGACTTTGTAATGTTAATTAAGTACTATAAAAGGCCTTGAAAAAAACTTTTATCCGAAATCGGCAGTAAAGTAGTCAACAATCGGCAGTAAAGTAGAACTTTACTGCCGATTTAATACGAGTATTATATGCCACCCATTATATTAAGATGTGTCTACTGCTCTCAGCAGCAACTAAATAATATTTTAAAAAAAGCACCGTCGCGGAGGTCGATTGGACCCTTTCATAAAATGTTGTTTAATAAAAATAATAAGTTAATTTTATTAATTAGATTAAAAAATCGCCGCGGCGGGCAAATATATAATAACCTTCGCAACAAACAGTATACGTTGACACTTCCTACATTCAAATGACATTTGATTTGATCATCAAATGACATTAACTAAACTAGGCTCAGTAGTTTTTTGTTTGGTTTTTGTTGGAAAATGTTGAATGCAAAATAATTTAATAAAATCACGCGCATGAAACTATTTTCCAAAAAGAAAAATCAAATAAAAAACTTACTGAGCATATATGCTATAGTTTGACAGATTAAATTTATAGGTTGAGTGATATACGTCTAGATTATTTCTCGAATTAAAGGAAACTATTTGACAATTCATAAAATCTGACGTATGTGTCAAAATTTATAAATATTTTTTTAAAGAAAATTCCATTAATTTTAGGTATGTAATAAGTAATAATTGATATTTCGTAAACTAGATAACTTATTTTTTATTGTTTTTTAAAAAATGTTTGTTAAAACTTGTAAATAACACCATAAAATCGTAAACAAAAATCCTATATGGAGGCTAAAATTTAATCGCTGTTAAATAGTTCTAGTGATTTAATCGCTTATTTAAACGAAATTTATTCGAAAATTCAAGGCTTTTGATTGGTTCATATTATAATGAGGAAAATAATCAAATAGTATATCACGAGAACTATGAATTTAATCGGTTAAAGTAGGCTCAGTAGTTTTTTGTTTGTTTTTTTTTTGGAAAATGTTGAATGCAAAATAATTTAATAAAATCACGAGACCGCGTAGCGGTCGAGGGGTTTTATTTTTAATTATTTTGCATGAAACTATTTTCCAAAAAGAAAAATTAAATAAAAAACTTACTGAGCATAGTTTGACAGATTAAATTTATAGGCTGAGTGATATACGTCTAGATTATTTCTCGAATTAAAGGAAACTATTTGACAATTCATGAAATCTGACGTATGTGTCAAAATTTATAAATATTTTTTTAAAGAAAATTCCATTAATTTAAGGTATGTAATAAGTAATAATTGATATTTCGTAAACAAGATAACTTATTTTTTATTGTTTTTAAAAAAATGTTTGTTAAAACTTGTAAATAACTCTATAAAATCGTAAACAAAAATCCAATATGGAGGCTAAAATTTAATCGCTGTTAAATAGTTCTAGTGATTTAATCGCTTATTTAAACGAAATTTATTCGAAAATTCAAGGCTTTTGATTGGTTCATATTATAATGAGGGAAATATTCTATGAAAAACTCCCAGGGACACGTGTTTCAATTGATTGAAATTAACTTCAAATTTTGCAAAAATTTGTTTTTTTTTTAATTTGGAACTGATGTGTGGGTCCAGCCAAATTGATTTAAAAAAATTTATACAGGGTGTTTAAATTTATACAGGGTGTTTCCAATATCTTTGAATTTTGACCTGATACAGCTAAACCAAGCATGGATTTGTAATCTACGACCAAAAATTAAGTTTACGTGTCCGAGCGTTTAGCTGTAAAATTTTCACCTCCCTACAGTGTTATTAGTATTATTAAATGTGATTTCGGATCAAATTTAATATGCACCTCGGCATTAAAGTCATTTTTTATCACTCACGTGGTTACTTGCCTCGGCTTTCGCCTCTGCAAATAGTTTCGACATTCGTGATAAAAAATACGACTTTACTGCCTTGATACATAAATAACTATTATGCTTTTACTAATTGTATCCATTTTCTTGCAGGATTTCGTTAAGTGACAATAGTGTCAGTAGCATAGTGGATAGACGTGGAGTGTTTGACGGGGCGTTAGAACGGAAATGGAAATAAACAGTATCCGCGGATCGACCGGCCAGTTGTCCAACTCGGGCAGCTTGGGAGGCGGAGGCGGTATGCACCACTCGCATTCAACGCCCGCGGGAGTTGACGGGGGCGCCAGAACGCCGCCCGCCACCCCCAAGAAGGGCGGCAAGATGCTGGCGATGCGAGTGCAGATGCTCGACGACACTGTCACCATTTTTCAAATACAGGTACACATTTTTTGGCAAAGTTATGAATTGATAAAATTTAGGTTTTTTATAATTTATGTCGGTCATTCCACCAAATAATTTTTTTTTGGAGTGTTATTCTCTAACTCAAAATAATGACTCGAGTAGAGATGCGACTTGAAAAAAAACGGTCCGTTTTTTTTCAAGTTTTTTGTCATTGTTTTTTTTCAAATGGTTTTTTTCCATATTTTAGTTTTTTTTCAAGATTAGTCTCATTTGCCTAATTTTTTATGTTTCCAGACCAGTTCATGGACTAAAATTAGCCACTAAATGACATTTAGTAAATGTAAATACAATCTCGCGCTTTGCACGCGCCACCACCGCCGAATTGACCAATAGGGGCCGCGCTTGTTTTCATTTGGTCCTAAAAAAAGTAACTACCTATAATATTTATATACTATTATATATAATATAATATAATATAGCACTTTTTATCATGATTTTTCAAATTCATTTAGAGTATGGACATTTTTTTTCAAAAAAAAAAAAACAATAGCATCCTTTAATTATTATATTATTAATATCCTTTAATTTTTTCTATTAGTGTATAAGTTTTACATTGCTATTGGTTTCTTATGTGGAAACTACCAAATAATAAGAAATCAGATTTTTTAGTCTAGGTCCAAATTTTCAATAATGAAAAATGTAATGTATTCTAATTTCACTTTAATATTAATATAGGTACATTTTACCTAAAATTTCATTTTGAAAAATTACTCCATTTTTTAAGATTGTTGTTATTTATTGACTGAATATGCTTTATTGTAGCGGATTTGAAAAAAAAAACAAAAAAAAAAAAACGTTTTTTTTCTAGTTTTTTTTCATGTTTTTTTCACATCCGAAAAAAAAACCGTTTTTTACATCTCTGGACTCGAGCTCTTAATATAAAGTACTTTCGTAGTAGGTAATGATTTTTAAAATTTTGACGTTATTTTTACTTTTTTGTTATTTTGTTTATGTAGGTAAATAATGTTTTATAAAAATACAAACAGTACCTCGTGTTTTTTTGTAAAAAAATCTTTTCAATGAAAATATTCATTCATTTAAGTACTTAACTGTGTCAAGTCAAAAATGCGATTTTTCTGATCCTGCGCCAGTTTATATTTCATTCTGAGAATTTTTTACATAAAATATGTAATTTTCACGATGAGGTTATTTTTTGTTTGAATACAATTAAATAATAAAGTCTTTTTTTTTTAAATTGAGGTTATCTACAGATCTGTCTAATTTCGTCTTATTTATAAAAAATTTAATATATATGTAGGTACCTATGTTATTGTGAATAAACTAAGAAGTTTTAGTCACATAAAAGTTCTTCTTCTTCTTCTTCTACTGTGTAATGGCCTTTCCCTTCCGGGATTTAGCCAGCTGATCTTCTTCTTTTCGGAGGCACTGGAGCAAGCGAGTCTAGGATAACCTATAGCTTCTCCTTTTCTTCTTGTTTTTATATTATTTATTTTTTATTAAAAATTATATCACTTAATCTTCTTTCCAGTCCATTTTTATATCAAACTTATTTATTTAATAATTTCAGTTTATTCTTAATACGTATTTTCAATACATAAACAAAATCGGAAACCGCGCAGCGGAAATCACTTTTAATACACAAAACAACAAACTCGATCACGATATAGGCAGCGGAAGTCAAAAGGCAAAAAAATATAAAAAACCCGACCATGTTCTACATAGCTGTTTGCTTGTATAACATCAATCTTGAAAAACTTCTCTTGTGGAAATCTTTTGGAACTTCACCAATCTAATGTAGATTATGCATTTTAAATATTTATCAGCTTATTTTTGTATGCTGTGGGCCCCATATTGTCCTCCCAAGGACCCCTGTCACTTAGGCGGACAATACAGAACTGCACAATAAAGTTAAATAGTTTTTCTCAGCTCCTAGACGCAAAGCCAAAATGGTGGGAATACCATCTTTACAACATATACAAATTTAAACCATGTGGTCCTGATCAAACACTTTTTTAGCAAATGCTATGCGGATCCCATTTTAAAATCAGTTTAAAAAGAAACCCCTAGAAACAAATTTTTACTTCAATAACTTGTACAGGTAAGGAGTTCCTTAAAAAATTAAAAAAAAATTCTGCGGGAATTTTAAAAATTACAATTTGTCGGTACATTTTTGTAGAACCTTCAAATTTGAGATTTGTGCCTATCCTATAGCCTATAATTTAGAGACTATAAATAATATAAACAAAATTTAAGAAAAATCTAAGTCCATTATTATGTTTAATTTGACGTGGAACGGCACTGCATACTATTACAGTTGTTATGATAGATTTGTATTAGTTTTCGGTTTTTTAAATTTAAAATTTAACAAGACTAAATTAAAAATACATTATAATTTTTTATAAAAACTACTATAATGGAAGCTGCAATTACACAGGCCCACAAAATAAAAAAGAGTTGTGTGTGCTAAGGAACATTAATCTATATAAAAAAAAACTGTTCCGTGAGACAGTCTCTGTATATAGATTAATGTTCCCGTTTTTTGCACAGAGATGGTTTTTAGGCCAAAAGTTTACTTTTTTAAATTTGTTTGTAATTATTATAATAATTAAATTGTAATTATAGTGCATTAATTTAAAAAATATATAATTTTAACAACTGAAAAAGTTTGTGGGCCTGTGTAATCCATGGGCTTAAATACCTAGTTTTTACATTTGTCCACAATTAGTTAAAATATCTATAATTGTTATAATAATAATTATAAACGTTTTTATAAAATTTTACCAAATTAAAATTTAGGAAAATAAAGTTCTGGTGGAAAATGCATACCTTATGCTAATCGTTTTCTTTGTTTGATGTTTAAAACGTGACAAAGTCCTAAACCACACACAAAACTTAAACGGCAGTTTTCTGAGAAAAGTTTGTAATTTTCAATCAATAACTTTTTTAATGTTTAGTATAAAGAACGTTGAACGTTGATTTTAATAAATTCATGCCCTCGACAGGCGGGTGGCTTTTAGTTTGCTCCAGTTAGCAAGAAGCATGTAAAATATGTGCGCACACTTTTATTTAAACGCGGTCTAATGAAACTGGGGGCAGGACCTTTTTAACGCTTTGCAGTCAATTGAAAATTTCGACAAAACCTGGATCGGCTAAATATTCATGAGGTTACTTCTTAAAAGTTTTGCATGTTTAAAATATACGGGGTGTTTCAAAATTAACTATGAATATTTTAAGAGCGTATTTTTACTAAAAATTTTTTAGGCAAGTGAATTTCAAAACACTATAATTGTTTGGTGGTTTTAAAAAAATATTATAGTTAACGTGTTTTATTATTGTTATTTGCTTTTATTTTTATAACTCATTCTCAGGGATACATTAATGAACTTTAATAATATACATACCAATTAGAAATACAAACTAATTTTAAAATATGACTATGACTTTTGTCAACTTTGGTATGTCGTTAAAAATGTTTTGGACACATGGTCCTCTTGCCTAAAATAGAGAAAATGTTATTTTTTAGATTTGTTTTTTTATAATAAGGCCATTTTTTAATTAGGAAAATATTGATAATATATATATATTTAATATATGAACTATTAGTTACCTATACGTTCGAGGCATGAATTGTAGGTTAAATAAATACAATTTGTAGTGTCCGACCGAAGCTTCGGCTTTGCCCTAAATACCAACTGTGTCCATTTAATGGTCGGTCAATTTTTTTCTTCAATTAAAAAATACTAATCTGTTTAAATTCGTTAAATTAAAAGAATTTAAGTAAATGGTTAAAAAGTTGATTTAAAATAGATCCGACTACAAATTAAAATATATATATATATATATTTTCTTGTTATACGGTTTATTTTAGAAAAACATAGACTACCCTACGGTCAAGAATGAGTTAAGTGTTAAGTGATAAGAAAGAGTTAAGTGACAAGTGAGCTTCTGGGCGGTCCTACCACCTGTCAATTGGACGATTTTTACTAGACAAACAAAAGAGGACAAACAAGGGAGGAATAGGCCATTTGAAAAAATTGATAAGCATCCTTAACCATCTGCATGCCCTAACATAATTTGCAAAATTAAACACGACAGATACCTATTAACCCTAAGAGAGGCACATTGCTTAAATTCTAAAAAAAACAATAAACATCAGTAACAATAGAAACATTAGAAAGACAATACTAACCAAACACCGTAAAAAAAAATAAAGAAAAAAATACATACAACAAAAAAAAACTTCCCATCCTAACCTATCGCGGTCATACACAAAGCTGAGTACGACAATAAATCTGTCAACAACAAACGCTTAAGGCACCAAACCCAGTAACTTTATTAACGGCCCCAACAAAAAATTAAGAAAATAATTTGAAGCGATATTTTGGTCTTTTGACACAAATACAACAATTTATATGCAGATAAATCAGCCAAATAAAAATCTGCAAAGCGCGCTATACGTGTTTCCAACACTGTTTTGTTTTTAGGTTAAGGGTTTATTACTTGGGTTATACGAGTAAAGTAATATTCCCTTTTTATGTAAAACGAAATATACCTACCAAATACAAATATTAAAAAAAAAATCAGTTAGTTACTATATAGTTAGTTACTATATACAACAGTTAGTTACTATAGTTGTTTATTGTAAAAAGTTTTTAAAATTCCGAATACTACTAAAAGCCAATACCTCTTATACTTCAACGTTAATAAATTAACGGTATGACGAAAGATCACCGATCGATCGAAACAACATACGTGGCAATAAAGTGGACTGATTATTTTGACCAGAAATATTAATCAAATAAAACTTTGCGGATCATGTAAGATTTAAAATATGTTTTTTATCAATTTATTTAACGATTATTTGGTACTATTTATCGCAACAATAAATTATACTATACTATATTATATTATTTATATTATATACTATATTATACTATTATATTATTATTATTATATTATATTATATTATTAGCTAGCTTCAAGCACATCTTATTTCTTCTCTTGTGATTTTAATT